GCTCCATGGTGTGATTTATACCAAGACTACAGAGGGGATATTGCCGCCCTCCTTGCTGTAAAGCCCCCTCTTGCTAGAAGATAGAGGTCATTACCAGAAGGGATCTTTTCAAAGGACAATGTAGTGTATTGTGAAATGTTTTATTCACAAACATTAATAAGGTCTACGAAAAAGCTGGTCTATGGATTGCCCTACTCTTTTGTAGCTACAGATTAAATCTTGGTTTTTATTTCATCAGGGTGCAAGAATCACATTGTAAGGAGACAATAATAGAGATGCCACAAGGAAATCTATTCTTAGGTCCCAAACGTTTAACATCCTGTAAGGAAACACCTTCAAAAGGTAAATAGGGAATACTGGTTCTGCTAGGAAGCCTTGCAGGTTTGGACATAACCTCCTGCTCCCTGTAGCAGCATGGTCAATCGGATGCGTTTTCTAGCTGTGGATAAGTTACTTCTGTCAGTAAAGGTCATAGCACTTAGCAGAGCTGTAAAAGCCCTTTATAAAGGAGACACTGAGACCTGCAAACACAAAGCAAGCTACCTGAGTCACCCAGCCGGACACAGCGAGGAGCCCAGATCCCCCGAGAGCTGGTGCAGTGCACTGAGGGACAGGGACACTGCTTAGCATCAGTGCTGAAGATCCAAATCCAGCAGCTTGCACCTTGCTTCTCAGCGTTGCTGCTACTGATTTAGGTGAGTTGTTTTCAACCCAGGTTAACAGACACCACAAGGTCGGTCCCCAGGCTACATCTGAAAGGTTGGCAAAAGCTAACAGAAAGGATAACCCAGTTAATGGATACCACAAAGGAACCTTTGTGTGTGCAACTTCTCAGGGATCTTCCAAGGAGGACAGTTGTGGGGCTCAGAAATCAAAAGTTTGAAAGTCATTGAGTTAGCTGGTTAAAAGCAGAAAAAGAAGTTGCAGGAGTTTAACAGAAACATGGGTTTCTACCTTTAGGTACATTTATTTTCTCCCTCTGCCAGGCAATTCCTCACTAGCAAAGTTTTGGTTAGTGCTGGAGGGAAAAGGAAAATTTACAATCCAAATTTCAGCAGCTGCCAGCACACTCATTCACACGAACTTTTGAGAACATTTCTTTGAAACTCTATTTCAAAAAGAAGGCTAAAGCAATTTGCTTGCAGAAAGAAGGCGTTGCTGTGAGAAGACAGATGCTGTTCCTGATTTTCAGCAATACTTTCATGTAATACCAAAATATTTGGCACAAAGCACCCGATTAAAAAATGCCATCGCTGATGGCAGATGGTACTTCTCATCCCAATCTGTAGCAGCCTGCTAACGTTAGATATAATCTGATTGCAAACACAGCGAGTGCATTTTTTCCAGATGAGAAAGCTTTACATGATTTTTCATTGCCCTTATTTTAGTTTGTTAACAAACACTACCACTATGAGCAAACAGACTCATTACAGTGTTACCAAATGAACCCCTTCTGCTCACCCCACCCTTTCAACCTTCCAGCACCTGGAAATATCACTAAAACAGCCTTTCCCCCACCACCACCATTGTACCACCTGCTTAAAACGCATAGTTTTAAGCTGCTCGTACTATCAAGAGCCAGGAGGGAGCCTTGAAAGAATCTGACTTAAGGCTATGTCACTACATTACAGCAAGACTTTCCCTATCTAGGAAGCTTTGGAAATACTCCAGGCAGCAAGTTGCTCACCTTTACTTTAGAACAAAATTAATTCAATCACATATTGATTTGCCAAGTACTTTTTCCCCAGTGGGAACTCACCGTAGATCCTCCTATAAGTTTACTCAAGTGTAACTCTATGCAGTAGGAGCTATGAAAACAGGATTTTCTTCAAGGAAGTTGCGCGTCTATAAAACTCATTCAACAAAGCTGTGCACTTGCCAAATAGTGGCTGCTCAAGTTATGAAAGAGAGTTTGTTTAACAGAAAACAAGTGAATACGTGTCCGACCGCCTTTCTCTTCTTCTTTGCTGGCTGAGGGACAGAATCCAGCGGAGGCCAAAGACGACCACTTTGCTAACTAAAGTAGGGACAGGCTCCCTCAAAGTTGAGACCATGCTAACACAGGGCATTAATGCTCTTTCAGGGCAGACATTTCAGAACTAGTCACGCTTCCTAGTGCCAGACCGAGGGGATGTGTAAAAATTATATTAAAATCACTTTTTTCTACTAATTCTGTGAGTCACTCTCCCCAGTAAAAATTATAAAACAATGTGTCACAGATTTGCTTTTAAACAACGCTCTCATTCGCCACCAGATTTGAATAGGCACCATTTGGATGCTTTGAAGTCTGTTTTTCAGAGAAGCAAGACAGGCTGGCCTTCTTGCACTTGTCAAATAACACAGTGCCTAGCTTTTAACAAGCTTCCACGAGCAAAATGAAGTATGTTGTTCCTACTCTCTCAAGCACTGAAAACATGCAGGTGCAACTTGTTCCAGCTGTACAGTCACTGGAGCTAGAATTTAACAAGTTACATTATCTTAATTTCAACAGCCATCCATATAGATCCTCCAACCATCTCCAGCCACCTGCAGGCACTTTGAAACACTCAGCATCTGCTCTTGGTTCAGCTGAGTAAGTTACACAGCACTTGTAGCGAGGAGGTAGTGGAAAGCATGATCATCATCAAGGAACAGCAACAGGAGAAATGGGTCTAGGTCCCAAATTCTGCATTTCTCATGATGGGCACCAGCCATAATAAACCACAAAAAGTCTACGTAAGGTTCTCACTGCACTGTAGGTACACAAAGGGTTTGAAATTCCAGTCTCTTGCAGACTTCCACTACTAATTTCCTCCGATGATCCATGTAACACAGGTGATTTACAAAACCTCCACAGCCACTGGGCAGTAGAAATAAAGACAACAGAATAAACTTCATTGTTTTTATTCTGCAAAGCAATATGCACATCTTACAAACACAAAATTAATCTAGGAGAGAAATGTCATTTCCAAATCAGCTATTAACCATCATGCAACAAGACAAGTGAAATGTAAGAACAAAACAAAACAAAAAAGCCATCTTAACCCTACAATCACCTGCAGAGGGTTGAAAACCAAGGCTCAGATTCTCTATGTAATGCCAAAGAAAAATGCAAAAGAAAATGGCAGCTTTCTAAGAACAAGAAAACACGTACAAATAGAATCAAAACTGATTCAAGTCATAGTTTAAAAGAAAAAGAAAACAAAAAAGGAAAGATCAATATGATCTGAACTTTAATATTAAGTTTTTACTCTTCTGTTTGGCTGCATTTAACTTTTGTACATTACGCCTAGGAATATGCCAATATTCCTCAGTATTACAGCATTTCAACCTGATGGACACCCTTACCTCTCTGCTGCAATACAGGGGTGCAAAGGGATAAACTAAGGCCAAAAAGTACAACTCTTTAACATTTTCCCTTTTGCATTTGTGGGTCACAATCTTGGTATTTCTAGGTACTTCAATACAGTGGGTGTAAGTTGCAAAGCAGGCTCCTTTAATTACCAAATAGCAAAACCAGATTAAAAAAAAAAAAAAAATATCTGTTTTCCCCACAGATCAAATTCCAGTTCAGACATTTGGAGTTTGATTTTTAATTTGCTGAAACAAAGGACTCGGCTTTGCTTTTTTAAAGGAGTCATGTTATGTTGGGCATTTTCTAAGTATTTCCAGAACTTGCAACACCACCTCAGTCTATTTCCTACTCCTGCCTTTGGTCCCCAGATCAAGCCACCCTCATAGGCAACTCTAGAAGTCAGTATTAATGCAGAGGGCTGGGTACGTGTGAATTAGGAACAGCTCGGACAGTTTTCACGAGAAGCCGTCTACGTGTTTTGACTTCACCGATTCATTTCAGTGAAGCAGTATTGGCCCATAGCAGCATCAGGAGAAAACTGGAAGCTTCATTTTATCCCTAGACTTCAAACTAGGCCATCTCTAAAGCTTTGCCTTAACATGCCCGGAGAAAAATGCATGTTAGTTAATACCACTTAAGTAACTGAAATTCTATAAAGGAAACATGTTCTGAAGAGAAGTGTGACCATTTTGCTTCAAACGCTCTGAAGACTCATGAACTTACTGAAGTCCCATACATACAGACCAGTAGGGTACCATTCAGTTGGGTCTATAGGTAACAAAGTAAGAATCTTATGCCAGCATAATTGAGACTCTGAGATTTTTGACTGGGGTTTCTTCTTTTGTGCAGAGTGAAAGGAGGAGGAAAAAAAGCATATATGTATGTATGCAGATCGACAGTTACACTACCTGACAACAAAGCTGAAAGACAAGATGAAAAGTGAATTAAGGCAACGAGTGAGATTTTAAAAGCAGCGGTGGAAATATCTGCAGGAAAACCCTGACTCCTGAAAATTAAAGAGGCTACTCAATAAGAAGTCAGAAAGAAAGAGCAAAAGCCAGAATGAGAAAGGGAGAAATGCACAGAATAAAACCTCCGATTTAAGAATGGACTGACAGAACAGTATGTGTTTTACTGTGTGGTTTCTTTGACCTTAATCACAACAGCCCATGTCCTTTCCTTGTCATTTTCCCCTGAGTGGACAGCATCAAATGGAAATGGGTCAAAGCTAATAAAAGTGTCATTTTCAGCTGCCCTTCAGAGACGGATGGAGAGTCTCAAAGTGAAGGTCTGTAACAGACTATGAGATTTTTTTTCCTTTCATTATTTGCACTTGCCCAGGGCTGTGCAGAGCCCCAACAGGCTGTTAATACAATACATCTTTTTATTAAGTTTCACTTTCTAGGAAAAAAAAAGTTTACAGAAAGCTGCTCTGCAGCAGAGACGCACAATCCTGGTTTGAGGGCTGCGGATGGGAGGCCAAGTGGAAAACTTTCCAGATAGTCTCTATGCTGACTGGTTCTCTGGCACTCAGCAAGCCAAAGGGAAAAAAAAAAAATTAAAAAAAACCAAACAAACAAACCAAACTTAGTACTTTTCAGTAAGAAACATTTTAAAATGGGACTTCACTTCTTAGGTTTTTTTACTATGAATAAAAGCACAAGTTTGTCCTAAATACAGCACTATTAAAATGTGAATATGTATTTCTTTTTTCAAATAAAATCTAGAATGTTGGTATCTTTTCTTGCAAGCAAGGAGCAAATGGAAGAAAGTATTAGGCCACACAAATACACATTTAATTCATGTACTAGATTGGTGGCTTTGGAAATGCAGTATTATATCAAAGGTGCATACTGTTTCAAACACACTGTACATATCATTGGGCAAAAAACAAAGATCTGTTGGTTTGTTTGAGACACTTGCAAAGGCATCTTAACCTGCCCAGATGCAGCTAGACAAAAATATCTTGCTCTGACTATATGTAGCCATATCACTAAACATATCTACACAAACATTCGGCTATGTCCACAGGTAAAGACTGAAAGTTTCCGGCCGCACTACAATGCGGAACAAGTGCATCATCTGACCTATTCTGAATATACTTTTATAAATATGTACAAATCAATTACAGGCACTTGAAATGTCTTTGGTTGGAATAAACCAACATTGCAAGATAATGTATTCACAGAGTGTTAAGACCCATTCTGGGTAAAAAAAGGTTCTCAGTCATTCTCAGTAAAAGGAGAGGATGGATTATGCTTCTGACAAAGCAACCTAAACAAAAGAAAACAAAAACATTTAATTAAAAGTCAAATTCTTAATCCCATAACAGTGGTATTACTTATCTCCATGCAGCTGGCATATCTGTCCTTGCCTTTTCAAAGGACCTTGAAAAGTCTAACTTGGAAAGGAAATCAAAGTAAGTATGAAGATGTTTTGTACTTAGCATAATCAATTAAAAACAAAAAAAAAACCCAGAACAGCTTATACTACAAAGTATCATTAAGATCAAAAGGTGCCAACATTAGCTTCCTACTTCACAATTAAATATATTCATATTTAATCCTTCAAAAGTAAGGTTTCCAATGCAGTATTGAATAATGACTGTTTCAATAACTTTGTCATTGTTTTAATTTAATTCTGATTAATAACCATTAGAATTATGTATCATGTTTTATTCAGTTTTCAGTCTGTTGTGATAAAAAATAAATAAAACTATTCAATGCCATCTATTCAATGCTTCATACAATACGGTGCAAGTAACACCAGAATTATGGCAGAAGAGTTGCATTACAGCACTTACTGAACTGCAATAATCCACTTCTGTAGAAGAGAAATCTAACTCTGAGGATCTACAAAGCACGTATATGTATTTTGTAGCACCCATCTGTACTGTCCACAATGACACACCCATGTCTCTCTGAAAGGGAATTAAATCTACATCTCCAGAGATAAGAAAAACCAGTCTGTACTATGTAAAAAAGGAGGTTTTCTGTTTTCTTATCACAGTCAATATTTTGTTATTACACAGACTCACCTTTTCAGAGCAGAATTCTGTATTGCTTTGCCTCAGTTTGCTTGGTCTGCCTTTAATAACTGCATAGCAGAACATCGTAATCACCATCACAAAAAGAAAGTAACTGGTATGCATGAGATGCAGGTTTATTAGGGAGCGATCATCCTGCACAGAGAATTAAAACCATTTACTGACAATGCACCAATAGTTGGCATTTTATATTAAAACAATAATTATCAGATCAACACAGAAATTACTTCATAAATCAACTTTTTCCCCTTTACACAGCTGGCATAGTAATGAAAGTGATTCCTAATTGTGGCACAAAGAGCCAAAAAATTCCTCATGTTAAAAATCTGTACTAGAGATCTCTTCCTATATACTGGCAGTGTCTTTTGTCAAATGATTTCAAAATATAAATGTTAGTTATTAAAAGCTGTGAGGCACATGGAGATTACATGAAGACCATCATGCCCACCAGGGGTAAAGCATACCCAACTCTGTTTCAACCCTTGCACTACATAATAAACCAGCACTGAATATGACTATTTTAGGACATGAACAGAACCGTATTCAATTTAAACAGAGCTAAGCATTTATTTAACATAACATATAAAAATACCACAGCACTTACATCTGGAACTATAACAGTTAGTTTGGGATTTAAAGCATGATATACTTTTCCGATTGCTCCTTTGTAACACCAGAAAGGGTTATAATCTTGTGCATATTTTGTATTAGAGTCCCTCGCTGTGGTAAAGATCTTGTACCAAAGTGTTGCATTGCTGTATGTTTCAGGAACACAATGTGGTGGCTGACTGCAGAAAAACAGAAATAATTAGCACCTCTATTGCCATTCTCCATGTTCAGCAAGGCAAACTCTTAGAACTGAGTCAAGCCCAGTCTTCTCAACGGCAGCATAAAACACGGTTTTAGTTTGGACCTTCCAAAACAACAACAAAACCCAAAGCTTAACCAAAAGGGTGTATAAAAACACCCACATGATTCCTATACTAAGATTAGAATTTAACTGCATGTTGTTCCAGTAAGTCAACATCCCACAGTTTAATTAGAAAAACACTGGTTTTCATAAGGCTTCACACAGTCATGTGAATCTGTCTGGTGGTTCTCCAGGTTGTACTGAATAGTGTCAGAGAGGCTAGAGAAGACAAAGGGAAACTACTTTGATGAAAGGTCTGTACCTGCTGGGGTATGGTAGCAAAGCAGCATTCGGCTTATGGTGATCCCTCAGCAGGGAAGAGGATAAGAATCTTGGTGTCAAGCCTTAGCTCTCACACCAGGTAGTGAAACTAAATTATAGACTATCTTTCTCAAATATTCACAGATTCTTTTGTTCCCAGCGAAGTTTAAATCACAGGTAGCATGTTGAAAGGCAGGTAGGGGCTATAGTTCAAAATATTCTCAGAAAAATCTAGCGTTGCTAAAAGACAGCAAAAAAGTCTCAAGACAAGGTTTTTACTGTGGGGGAAGGAGGGCAGGTACATCATTTCCACAGTCAACAGTAACGTTCATCAGGACGTAAAAACATGAGGAATTAATCACCCAGTAACCAGTCTATGAAGGAGTGTTTAAAATGCACTTACACTGTGACAGGAAATACATTGCTGGCTGCTGTCACAGTCATGCAGGTTGTGAACACAACCTGCTCGCAGTGGCCATGAAGAACACAGTCATCCGAATTCCAGGCAGCCGGCAGGGTGAATGTAATATTTATCTCCTCATGGGATTCTCTGCCTTTGAGAAAGAGAGAAGGAAAGCTGGTTTTCATTCACAAAAGTATCTGAGCAACAATCACTAGGATAAAGACAACATGCAAATGACTAAGGCAGCAACCACCACCCTGAATCTGTACCTTTGAAGTCATCCAGGATCTTTACTGTCAACAAAGAGAGCAAAAAGAAAGTTAAAAAACAAACCAAAAACCAAACTACAGAATCCCCAGCTGCTGGTCTTCCTAATCTCTCCTGCCTCCAGAAGAAGCGGGGTCATTAGGCTCCTTTCAGAAATGAAAAACTGACTATTTATAAGTGAATTCATGCATGTTCAGAGAACTTCATTAGAAAGTAAAATCACAGATCTTTTAGCCTTTCTCCTCCCAAAGACTTTGTTCCACATTTGCTTTTTCTGATGCTTACTTTTCAAATTGGAGATATTCGTGTAGACAAAAAGGTGCCAGCAGATATTGAACTGCAGATTAAGTAGTGTACGTTAACTCCATGTGGATATATTCATACTGAGAATAAATCCAGGCTACTGGTAATGGAACTCGCATTTGATAGCTCTTAAAGCATTAACAAAATAACAACAACATAAAATACAGCAATATAGACTTACAGCTATGGTAAATGTCTCTTCACAGATCTCTGAGGTTCAAGACACCGTCAGGCATTATTACAAAATGCAACCCTGGCTAAAAGCTAAAATTCAGTGAGGTTCCATTACCAATTTCTACTAATTTTCTACAATCTCCTGCCAAAACTTACTGACAGGGCAGCCACATAGCAGATCAGTCTCTTCACACCACAGAAATTGTAACCATCTTTGTTGCTGTTTGCTATATTAAAGCTTATTCGTGTACGCATTTTAGATAAACTATTTTTTTTAGACAACATGCTACCTGATCTCTAATGTATATACATTAATGCCTTTACTATGTGAGTTAACAATGTGAAGATGTACCAAGATAGAACTGAAGATAGTCACCGTAGAAGCTTTTGCTGCTTGGAATTTTGTTGGCTTAAAAATTATCTTCCATCATCATTAGGTTAATCATGCAAAACTGCAAAGCCTAATCTTGGCAAACCTGCAGGTTCTTTTCCATTCTGAATGCAGGGAAAAGTTTTTCTAGCAAAGAAGAAGGGCTCTCTATATAGGAATATAATCACACATATACTCACTGGAAAAACATGTATCTTCTAAGCAAAAGATTTATCTCACCAATAATAAGCTGGTCAATTTTTATTTGATTATATAGTTATCATTCAAATTTATAAAGGTCAAGCCTTGCATACCTGAGAGCCCAATTTGGTGTCCAAAAATTGTGGAACTTAGATGTGTGACATTGCGAGAATATCCGCCAAATGGCCTGAGTGGGTCCAGCGTCAGCGTGATCATAACAGAGATGTTTATTGGACCAGAGTCCTCAAGAGTCTGTGGAGACTGTGTAGAAGATCTCGCCTGTCCACTAGTCACGGTACTTTCTGGAGTTGTGGTATCATTGATGAGATGCTTTAAGGTTTCATTCTCAGATATACAGAAGTCCAAATCATTAAACCTCAGGAGGAAAGTATTCCAGTCCTTAAAACAAAGGTGAAGATTTCAACTAGATTAGCAAGTTAACTGACTTCTCTAGAGCAGGGCAGATCTTGATATGCACCATCCCGCCCGCAGTTCCAAGCCATTTAACAAAAATTACATGGCTCACAAAGCAAGCACAAACACCACCATGGCTATCTCAACAACGGCGCAAGTTGTTTACAAAAGTTAGACGTGTTCAATCCCAGCCGCTGCCTGACTGCTGCTCGGTGCGGCAGCGGAATATCCTCTTTTAAACTATAGAAGGAAAATACTAACTTGGTCTGTTCTCACCATGCTCAGGGTACGAGTGGTTACCAGCAAGGTCTCCCTCATTACAGAATAGTACTACTAGATAGTAAGTTTCACAAACAATCTAGCTGACACAATAGAGTAAGAAAAGGAAAGGCTTCTAGCCATAGTAGGGAAGATCCATGTCAGATGATTGGGCCTCATCCTCAAAATAAAACAAGACTATTCAAACATTCATACCAATAGCCTCTTTCCTTATGAAATTAGAGGCAAGTATAAATGAAGATAATCTCCCATAGGACTCTTCACATTCCCATGAGAGGGTTCTTGGGGGAAAAAACAACTAACCAACCAACTCAGTAGCTTTGGACATGTTTTTCCAATTAATATTCCCACTGTTTAGCTCAGGAACTTTTTGTACCTACCTCTGTCATTTCTGGTGACTTGATCTCCTTGATTTTGAAGAAATAACCCAGCGTCAGAAAAGCTATTGCCATAGCGCTTACACTGATCATAAAGACCACAAGCGGAGGTCGACTGCTGATGTAAACCTTCAGGTTCTCCAACAGGTTTATGTTGAACATTATTCTGATTGTTCACCTGAAAACAAAGAATTAAAACAGAGTGACTGGGCTCTGTGTGTTACAGGGCGGTGGTTGGTAGATCACATAAGACAAAGGTTTGACAACAAAAAATGGAATCATATACTAAAATGAGATTCAATTATATGACTCTGTACTGTTCATTGAACACAGACTCCGTATGCCCTAAATAAAGCACAAATCAAAACATGCTCGACATCACCTTCTCAGTGCCTGAAATTGCCAGCTGGGAACAGATTTTAAGAAATGAGGACAACTTCCAGCACAGCCAGATATCGCTGATAAGCAATAAAACGAGCTCTTTTCTTTCCCCACACACCTAGGCAGGATACACACTGCTGCACTTTAATTCCATTAGTAAGTGAATTCATCAAGTTACAGTGTGGATGGAGTTGTAATGCAGCCCACAGATCAAACTTTGTACATCCTTGCATTACTTTCAAAAATGAGGCTGAAGCCTTAAAGATCCTCCTTTACCTCATCCCGAGCCCCAAATGCCTCTACCTTCAAAACGGGATGTGACAAGCAGCCTACGTCATTTTAGTCTTCTGCATCAAGAATCCTGTGCTCAGAAACGTTTCACAACTGCATTAAGGTGGAGGCTAGAAGACTCCTTTCTTTATTTGATTCTTGCAGCATCTAGAGAACTTTTGCTAGACTCTGTAAACAAAGACAAGACCTTACACGTGCTGAGGAAATGTACTGAATCATTAATTTTTGTCCAAAATATAATATTTTGTCTGATCCCCCTTCTGAATTTTCTTTTCACTTGCAGAGCAGAAAGACCCAAACTAAGTTTAATGTATTGGCTTCCCGACCTCCACGCACAACAAAAAGCAAACAGTTCAGTGTTAAATGGCAGCCTTGCAGCATCTACTTCACAAGCTCTGCAAGGAAGGAACTTCAAGCAAACCTCTTATCTTTGTTATAAATCCTGGTTGAAAAGGCTTTTAACCCCAACTAAAATAGAAAGGCAGTAACTGTTCCCAGCAATGTGTTGCTTATCCCCAAAGTTCATAGGAAAAGGCAAACTTCAGGACTAGCATCTAAAGAATTCAGCACTGCAATGGTTAATGTTTCATCATTCATACAGATCTGATAACATTTAATTAAGTCAGGGGCTCCGCTCCCTGCAGGTCTGGGTGATTCTCATTGACTCTCATTAGAAGGACAAGTCATTTACAATCCAGATGTAGCACTGCTGAAGAGTGGTAAGACTGAGAATGGGAGAGACAGGTTTTGAGAAAGAGGGCAAGGGAGAGTGATCCTTGATCTGATCTCTTGGTTTAAAAGAAACCAAGAGAAGGGAAAAGGACAAGCTTTCAGACAAAGTCTTTTTCAGATCCCACGATGTACAATGATCACAATTTTCTTGTGAACACTCAAGACTTTACCGGCAGAAATGCTTCTTAGCAGAAGGAATATTGACAAAACCTGCAAAGCTGCCCCAGAGAGGGGAAAATTCAACTCACTGAGAAGAGACCCGAGGTCCTGTGGCAATAACACAACACTGAGTTGTGCACGCTGACTTTCCCCATCTCCTCCCCACACACCTACTTGCTCTCCTTGGTGAAATCTGCTGAAACGCTGCTCGCTCCAGAGCACAAGATCACGTCCTGGGTTTACTGTTTTGCACCATCAATCAATTTTCATTCAATCTGCAAAGACCAGGAAAGCCAGCAACTTTTTATCAGCAAGAAAGACTGGATGCTGCAAACATCTCTTTACAAAAATAGAGTGTGTCTGAGAGTGAAGCCCAGTATGGAGAAAGGATGGAAAGAAGAAGAGAGGAAAGGAAAAGTGATGATAAATGTGCACCTTACCAGAACTTCTCTCTCTGTCCAAGAGCAGCTGTGCTACGGCCAAACGGGCCAGTGAGGGTGTCAGGAGAAGGCAGGAGAGAGGGGGAAAGGGAGCCGGTGTTGGTAAGGATCATGCTGGGTACGATCTGTACGTTCTGCCTCCTATCTAGTCTCTGGCAGCAAATTTCTTAAACAAGTCCTAGTTAAAAATCCGAAACGCTCCATCTAGAAACATTGGAGACACATGTTGGGATGGAAAAAGACAAACCAAAAGCAGAATTGTATTCAGTGTTCCCTTCTGAATTTCCTTTTGAAAATAACAACACAGATGCAGGCTTTATTACAGCGTTTAATCAAAGCTGAATGTCACCCACAGCATATATAGCACTGTGATTCCTTTTTAAAGGGGCTTCCAACAGCTCCATTAGCATGCTTGTTTACCACAGGGTCTAAAATCAGCCATAAAACTGGATGTGCTGAAAAGCATACATATAAAAATATTTGGGCTAATATTTTTATGTAAGAGATCACCAGCTTTTAAGTGCCGGTTGCTTAATATGCTCCCATAACTCAACGGCTTTGAAAGCAATTAGAAAATGCTATAAGCTGCAATTTCCAAAGCGTAATATGCCTTTTGAGCATTTGTGAGAGAAAAGGGAACAACTGTGGATTTCAATACTAGAGCTGACCTGAAAATAGCAACTGGACATGGTTAGTGCAAACCAGAACTAAGAAGAATGTTTCCACACTGCTGCCTGAAGAGCTACTGATTTTTTTATGAAATAAAGTGCTTAAGTAACACTAATTATCAAAGAACTTGTGAAATAGGTCAGTGCACATAAATCAAAATGTATATTCCCACTAGAGCCTAGGGGCTTGGTTAATGGTCCACACCCTTCAAACTCCCCCTTTTCTGTCAGACCGGTGACAAACACAACACAGATGCTATTCTCCTACCAGCTCTAGTTGTAACCAACAGCTTCCTCTGTGTAAATGAACAACCTAAGGAATAGAATTTAAACTTTTATTTCTTTTTCACACAGTTAAAAAAAGAAACCGAATGCTATTACCTCCTGGCAGGTCAGGAAAACAAGATCAGATTTCACTTTTTAGCTAAATAAATAATTTAGAAAGCAGCTCTAATAACTGCTGCCTGCCTCTCTCCGCTTCGGCTAAGCCTTTTAATACTTGTGCAATAAAAATCTCCACAGTCAGCCTAAGAAGTAGCTCAAGCGCAACGGGAAGAATGAAAACTGCCCGCCTGGAACATTGGCCACCAACTCCAAAGTAATTGCTTGGTATTAAGCTGTATACATCAAGACCAAATGCCACGTTCAGGCAGAGTTATAGCTGACGGTACTCATCAGGAAACACTCGACGAGCACTGGAGAGATATTGTGCTCTTAAATCAGGCCCTACAAACCACGGAAATTCTGCTATACAGTTAAAAAGACAAAAATGGTAAAGGATGGAAATACACAGCAGTCAATATATCAGAGTCCCAGGTAAACACAGAATTGGGTAGTTGTCTAAAAAGTGAGAAAACAGTCACTCATTCTACAGTTTTGGGAGTCTTCCTCCGTGACAGCAAGCTCAAGACCATATACAGCAACCACAAAGAAGTAACACTTTAAACTCCTCCTTACTTGTATATGAAAGAGTACAGCAAAGGTAATTTCTGAAATAGACCTATGAGTTTTTCAAGAATAAATTACAAATAAGGAAAATCTTGAAGTCTATTGCAAAGACCAAAAAGTCAATGAAATGAGTCATAGCAGCAGCATTAAATTCCCATTTCGGGGCTTAGTACCAAAGGAACTGAATTCTTAACAACAATAAAAAAACCACAACTGTGTGCTGTACTAAAGCAGGTATTAAAAGTAAAACTGCAGTTGCCAAAATGAAAATAACAAAGCAGAATGTGAATTTTAAAGAGATCACAGTAAATGTCTGACAATTTTTTACATCTATCTTGCCATAATGTCAACTACCATCTTCCCTCTAGAAAGCTTAAAATCTTGTAATTTCCTCACAAACATTTCCCCTTCTTGTTGTGCATGTAAGATAGTCAATCTAGAGGAGAAAAACACTTGGAGGGGTTTAAATAATAAAAAACCACCACTGAAATATCTTAAAGAAGAAAAATGTGAGTGGAAGGGAAGAGCAGCAGGCCAGCACTAACCCATCCCAACAGCACTCCATTAAGACCTCGCGTGTTTTCTAAGCCTGAACGTGTTACTGCACATAATAGTATTTAATCTTAACTGTGCAGTTCAGTTTATTTATAAACCAATGATGTTTTCAAAGATGCCCCATTACTAGTAGTACAATGGGGGTTAGGAAATGGGTCACATCAGGGTTAACCACTTTGAATTAAAATAATGCTGCATGCCAGAAAAACACTCAAGAACACAAACCAACCGAACTGTGATTTTCCTAGCAAATGATCCATAAATAACATGCAAACAAAGAAATGGTGTTGATCTCAAACTAAAGTGCCTCTCATTTAAGAACAGTAAACAGTAGCAGGCGCCAAAAATATCTTTAATTTGGTTTTCTTCCCCTCAAAGCAACACCTTTTAACACCTAAAACACTAAAATAGTAAAGCAAAATAGATCACAGTTGTGTTAGCTGTGAAGCTGGCGTCCGTATTGGGACCGGCGCTGTTTAACATCTTTGTCGGCAACATGGACAGTGGGATGGAGTGCACCCTCAGCAAGTCTGCCGGTGACACCAAGCTGTGTGGTGCAGTCAACAGGTTGGAGAGAAGGGATGCCATCCAGAGGGACCTGGACAGGCTGGAGAGGTGGGCCTGCGCGAACCTCATGAGGTCCAGCAAGGCCAACTGCAAGGTCCTGCACCCGGGTCAGGGCAA